CATTTTTCCTAAGGCAGTATTTAAATGGAAAAGAATCCTCTTCTCTTGATTTAGAGTGTGTAAAATGCTATCCTGATCCTACCAGCCTGAAACCTGCAGCCCTCATTCTTTCCCAAAACTCTTGCATCTGCAAAGAGACCCACTGAATGCACAAAGGCAGTGCATGAGCTTAGCAGTGTGCCCATGTGTTTTCCATTATAAGAAGGGGCCTAAGAAGCCATTTTCCTTGCACTTTCCAGAGGAACCTCCCTTTTAGTAAAGAGTGCTTAATCTGTTGGGATGAAAATTACAACCAACTGAAAATCCACCCAGAATCTTGAGACAATCCCAAACTGAGCATTTTCAGACACTGAATCTTTTCAGTTACTTTATATATATATAGTTTTTTTATCTATCTGTGATGGCCTTCCCTGTCTCCTGGTTTCTTCCCATAAAAAAATCAGGATTGCCAGCATACCACAAGTGATCCTGTGCTTCAAATATTTCCTGCCTGTTGGGAAGTAGTAAACATGATGGGAGAGAAAAATTGTCCCTGGGAGATTTTCAACCTAATTTTGCGGACTTAAGATATCTGATTGTCCTGGGAACTCTGTGCTTGCAGCTCCCATTAACTTCAGTAACAGGTGCATGAATATTTCTAATGCCCATAGGTTCACATATTTGTAGGAGGACGCAGATAAGGTTTAGATAAGCATATAGCAATTCTCAGGCTAAACAAAGCAGAACTCATTGCAGTTCACCTATTGCTACTTGTTGTTAGACATAAAATAAGCAGGTGATGAGAATGTACGAAGCTGATCTAAGAGAAAAACAGAGGATGGTTTTCACTTCCAAATGCATAATGACCACTGTGTAGGACATGGTGTGCTCTTTGTAAAAACCCTTAGTGTATACACTGCAATTTCTTCACTCAGTTTCTTAAAGTTTGGGAGGGAAAAAAAAAAAAGGAATGAAGGTCATTGACTTTATCCTCTGTTTTACAAGATTTATTTGCTTAATCCAAGCCACTTTTCTCATTCCCTCACCTCTTTTTTTGGTTCTTGTAGGGAAGGTATCCCTATCCAACAGTAAACTTGCTGTGATTCAGAAGAAAGGAAGCCCACAAGTCTCAAAAAGTACATGACTCACTCTTCCAAGGAGACCTCTTGCTACTAACGTAGTGCAGTGGTTTTAAAACAACGCTGATGAGTAGGATGGTGGCACAAGTTTTCTCTAAAAGTTCATTTTCTCCTTTGCTGCTGGTCACAAAAAAAAAAATAAAATAAATAAATCATACTTAGTTTGCTTCTGATGGCTTCCATTGCGTAAATAGTTGTGAAGTGACAATTCATCATGACTTAGCCCTGCACAGGAGATGTACATATGTGTCACTTCCCCAGTGCCCTCAGCTCAGGGAGAGCCATCCCCAAAGCTGGCTGCAGACTCACCCACTGATGCAGCCTGTGAGTTGCACACCCATGTCAGGGAAATGTTGTTTAGCAGCAGCTGCAGTGCAGCAGACACACTAACTGAGATGACTATATTTAACTTAAGGAGTTGTCAGCAAGAGTCTGTCTGAGTGGGATGCGTTTAGTCTTTTTTTCCCCTTTTTCTCCAGTAGGGAAGAACATGTGATGCTTGTGTCCGTCTCCTCTTCGACTTGCTGGTTTTCATCCTTTGGCATGCCAGGATGAAAAGTGCATGTCCTTAATATTTCTGGGAGAAAAACATTACAGATTCTTTCCTACTGAGAATTGCAGATTCAAGATTTGATTCGTAAAGTGAGCATTACAACCCTGCCTATATACCCAGATTAATCCAAGGGGACCCTAGTCATGTAGCAACCATTTATTCCTGGCATGTTAAATGATCTGAGAAGTACTTTTTTTTTTTTTTTTTTTTTAGTTGTGTTTGGCTCCTTGCTATTTAGTCAGTTGTTTTCCTTTTATCACCGAAGAAAGTCTTAAGAAGGATAAGAAGGATTATTGTAAAAAATGCCTGATAACAGTACTGGAGCTGATAAAGGGAGGTAGCCTGAGAAGCTGGTTTTGATAGATGCAAAGCTAATATTTAAGTACCTTTGATTAAACAAAACAAATAAACAAACAAAAATCCCTGCAACATGCCTGAGTATTGGATAAGTAAGAGTCAAATTTTTATTCTTTGTTTTGATTCTTTTTATCTCTAGTGATTTTTTTCTTTTTTACCTCCTTAAAAGTGTTGATACCCAGTAATGATATTTTAATGCAAAACTGGATAGGCCAATCAGAATGATAAAATAGGACAACGAGATAAAATGCTTCAAAAAGAGACATTATTTTAATATTTGTGTTTTTGATCTGGATCTAGGCTAGTGTCTTACCGGATTCCTTTTTTATCTGTTCATTTCCTGAGTCTCCTTCCCGCTTCATTAAGACATTCTTTAATTTGCATTAAGCAACTAGAATCGGGCATTAAGGATCATATAATAAAGGTGTCTTTAGAGTTGGGCAGTTCATGTACTTGCTCATAAGTCTTACATTGCCAATTTTATCTGAACTCTATGAGATAATGGTGAGATATTACTTAGTTTAAAATAAATAGGAAATCATAACATGGGCCATGCTTCTGTGGCTCTGAAAGACATGTAAGAGGTTTTTTTGCTTTTCTGATATAAAAGTGTTCTTTTGATTTATTAGATTTTCTTGCCCTTTAACTTCAGATGTATCTTGAATGTCAAGCTTGATTTTTTCGTGTTTTAGTCATGTGCATTCATTTAGTGAGCTCAAATAATTTTCCTGCCTTTCTGGTTAAATTATGCCTTTTTAAAAGGTGTCCTTTAGACAAATAGCAGTCTTAGTTAACAAGAACCAAAATTTACAGACAGACTAGTACTTTTTTTTTTCCTCTGAAATCTGATTGCCATGCTCCTGACTTTTTCTGAGTTGAATTTTTTATAAATTTTAGAGAGGAAGTGTAGATACTGATAGTACATATAAGTGTTTTTTGTTTCATTTTGTTTTTGTTTTTGTTTTTGGTATGTACTGATGGTTAGTGGATGGACTATGAGTTGAAATCAATTGTTCTTACAGCAGCTTCGGAACACTAGTAACCCAGTGGCTAGATCTGTTGTAGATACTCTGTTTTACATTTCAAAGCACAAATGTGGTAATTCCCCTCAGTGAAGGATTGGGGAGAGTGAGTGAACTTTCAAGTACTAAGTTTGTCCATTTGATGCAAAGTACAAAACAGCTATGGAATATATAATTAAAAGTAAGCTGGAAATTAACATTTCAATGAGCCAGAAATATCCTGATTTCATTTTACTATGCTGAAAACAAGTAATAGCTGTGGCCGTGACCTTACCAACAACAGTGAGAATCTAATGATGGGGAATCCCTGTTGAAGAAAGATCCCTGGATGTTGCACATCTGCTGAACCTCCCACAGATGTGGCCCTGCTGGCTGGACCACTGCAGCAATTTGTCTACATTAACAGTAGATGAGTAGATGAGAAATCACAGTGGTATAACATGTTAGATTGAGAAACAACAGGTAGTTGAGAGATAGCTGGGGTAGGGTAAAAACAGTTGTGTTTTTTTTTTTTTTCATGGCAGGAAAATCTTTCTAAATTACTATTTATTTATTTATTTTTTGGCAATTCCTGCCTATAAAAGTTTTAGTAATTTGCCTTATGCCCTTGTCTTACCCCATAAAATGGATCTTTCACAGGACAATATCTTCAGCAATGCATATGGGTCTCCTTTTTGGGCCAATACTGGCAGCAGGTTCATGTGGTTACAGCATACTTCTGAAAAAAACAAAACTCTGGCTTTGCAATACATACGATAGTTTACTGTTGTTGTCAAGAACAACAGAAATATAAATCTACATTTAAATTAAATCCCACAAATGCTATGGTTCTTTGACAGTTGTTTCGGTGTTTTTGTCAAGGTTGTAATTTCCAAGTTAGCTTAAATATGAGTATTTTTCAATGTATTTAAAAAATAAGATATAACAGCCATTGATAAGGAAAGCAGTGATGAATCCTGGCATTAGAACCACTGGCACCACATTTATGCTTTTCTGTACAATGCATTACACCTCTCAGAAACACTCAGCTCTGCCCAAGGACAGTGCAGCAAAGAATTAAAATTCAAGCACTAGAGGCAGTCTCTTTCTTCTTGCTGAATAAATGAAGGAAAACAGAGAAGAAGGAAAAATACAGAAAACAAAGCAATGGATGATTCTGCCAAGATTCACACCAAATATTGCAATGCTTATTCAATACGGGTTTAACGTTTCGTGTTTGAAAACCATAGTGTCTGTGAAAATGCATGGTACAATATCCTAATTCAGACTGGTGGTTACTACTGGCTGCACTGGGATTGCACAGAGTGCCACTCAGAAGGGGGCCCGGACTCCCTGTGTTTGACACACAAATGCATTTGGGTAGCTGTTTACATGTGGGATCTGCGTTGCCTACGTATACTTCAGAGAACATAGGCTTGCCAGATTTTAGCCTTTGTGTCTCATTTGCAAAATAAATGGTTTGCTTAAGAGTTTTCTAAAAAAGATAGAGAATAAATGGTCTCTCTGCCATAAATGGAAGACAGAAGAATCCCATCTGAGTACGTACGACTAAAGCAGAGCGAATAAATCAATACACGCAGCATTCTGCAGGGAAAGCAGAGTCAGCTGAAAGGTGATGTTTCACGAGGGCTAAATCATTTCTCCCCGCCCATCTGTGGGGATGCCAGAGGAGGGAGAGCAGGGAGTGCCCCCAGGGCTGGGGGTAGCAGAGGAAAGTGAAAAGGGAATAACCAGCAGGAAGGCGAGGGCAGGATTGCTGGAGGGGCTGAGAGGCAGAGCAGCAAACCTGCCCCCCAGCACCCCAGTGCCTTGCCGTGCCCTGCAGCCAGGGCATTGCCGCTTTGGCAGGGGGCCCTGCGCCTCCCTCCCCAGAAGTGCCTCTGCCTTCTGTGAGGCTTGACTGAGCCTCAACTGTCCCGAGGCGGTGGTGTTTTCCTGGAAAAACACATCTTTATTGCTTTACAAATTCATTATAACAAGGGACTCATGTTCAGACTGAAGGACACACTTATTATCGTCCTGTGGTTTTCAATTAATAAGTTCACAGCTAACAGTTTTTAAGTACAGTGAATCATGCAAATTTCCATATCACAGCAGCTAATTTATTTGTTTATTGGGGAATAGCAGGCGCCACATGAATCTGTTTTTGAAATGAATTCCAAGTAAGGCAGACAATTTTGGTCCGAGCTGTAGGAGGGGGGAGCAGGAGGGACCAGCAGGATAATGTAACGCAGCCTCTGCGCAGCGCAGGGTGTCTAACGCGGGATATGAACGTGAAATGAGCAGCAGCACAGACCTAATATACAGGGGACTGATCCTGAAGCCCAGCCCTCCCTGACTGGTGGATTTCTGGCCAGAACCAACGTGAGTGTATCTCCAGGTCAGAATGATAAAATCCAGGTGCTTTCGGTATACAATTGCCGATGACTTCATTCTGTCTTCCACGTACAGTTCCAGCTTTTGTTCCCCAGGCAGTTTTCAATGCTGGTTGCAAACATAAGGATCATTAAGTTACAAGCTGGATTTATTTACCGTTTGCAGTTAGATCTGAGAGTAGTTGTCTGTTATACCAGATTTTAATTTCAAGCCTGTCTGATGGGCATATAAGATGTGTTCTTACCTGTTCTTGCAACTTTGCACAATTATGTTTTGGACTCTGTTCTGCCCCTAAGAGCTCAGAGGAAGACTCAGGCAAAAAAAGATGTAGCAGAGTAGCGTGCCAGAGGTTTGCAGGGCACAGGAATGTTGTGACTCAAGGTGTTGCTGCTGCAGAGCTCAGGCATGAGCTTGACACCTGCAGGTAGCTTTGCAGAAAGCGCGTTGATCTGTGGCCATCGCTAGAGGTTTGCTGGATTCCAGAAGCACAGAGGCTCTTCTTTATGTGGATGGCTTTCATTCAGCATTCATACAAATAATCTTCTGCAACCCATGGGCATGCTCTTGGATTGAAGCTGCCACTGTGCTTTTGGCCTGCTCTTTGTGGGGAGGGAAACTGGGTAGAGATGGTGGTGACTTTTTCCAAGGAAGCAATGCCTTAGGCAAGGGGCTAGGCTCCAGATTCGTCAAACTAAATTTTAGGCACCTGAGACCTAAGCTATATCATTGATGAAGGGAGGTTCAGAGGTTATCTATCAGCTATGATCTGGTGCCTTGACTTCAGGTTTGGCTATTGATGCAGTGCTGTAGGACTGAGCTCCAAATGGTGATTTGGTGAGATGTCAAAAGCAAGGGGATGGTTCTGCACCAGTAGTGCTCTTCCTGCAGGTGGTAGGTCACAGGATCACCTTTCTCAGCTCTCTAACCAGTCATCTTTCTTTTACTTTTTTTTTAATCAAGCTGAGATATGGGCTAAACATGTCCACAACCTGTGCACTTTGGCTGCTGTATGAAACGGAACTAGTCTGTCTTATTGTAGTCATTTCCACAAATTATATCCCTTAAATGCTTATACAATGAGGCTATAATTTAAACCATAATTTAAATGTAAAAGTGACAGGGGGCCTAAGCAGGCTATCTAAGGGAGAGTATGACTGATGTACATGATGTTTGAAAGGAGATGAAAGAGTCACTGATACAGAGAAGCCCATTCCAGATAATGGCAGCGGAAGAGGAAATGGTTCCTGCAACATGAGAGATGAAAGTGGAAAAGGGAAACACTTATGTAACTATGAGAAGGAATTTGTCTGGTTGTGACTGAAAAAGAAAAGATGCTGAAAAGAAATAACATCATGAAAATGGAGAAAAAAAAAAGATTAATATTTTTAATAGGGAAGTAGACCATTGGTCAGAAGCAGGCAACAACTTCAGCAGAGTGATAGCACTCAGAAATTTCCCAATGCCTTTTTTCATGCAGGATGGGTATTCACATCAAATGCTGAGATTTAATTAAAAGCATACTCAGCTGAAGAAATCTTCTGTCCTCTATACGTATTTTTTTTTCTTCATGTTTTTCATTTTCCCTAACTATCCAGAATGGAGAAAAGGCATAGTTCCTGCAATTCAAGGAACATGACTTGAATTTGATGGTTCCTTTTACAACCCATAAAACTCATATGACTAATAAAGAGCATTTCTGACCTTTCACATTAAGATCACTCTGACTGCTTCCCACATATTCAGCCCATGTGTCTTCCTCTGGATCTGTACTTCTTCTCATCAGGGAAAAAAACAAACAAACAAACAAAAAAAACCAACATAAATAGGTGACAAAAAAGTGGCTGTTTAAACGTCAGAAGGCAGCAAAATACTCAAATATTGTCGTCAGAAATAGTTGACATTTCGCTGTTTAAAAGAATAAAAAGTCAGATAATCTGATGTCTTCACTCAGTGAAGATGATTCCAGAGCATCATGGCAGATAGAGTCTAGAATACCCCAAAAGCTAACATCAACATATTTTTACAAGCACAAGGTTGCTGTAGCATTGCTTTTATCAGGAAAATTTGTTCCTTTTAAACACAATGGAGCACTTAACAGGTCCCCAACTCAGACCATGTTTCTCCAACAAAATTTCACGTGTTTTTAATAAGAAATAAATAGGTAGCAGAAAAAAAATATTTTTGTTGTGAATTAAATGATCTCACTGCAGTACACTGAGTGCAAATTCTGGCCACAAACATGCTTAATATGTAAATAGTTCTGTTTGTAATCAAAGCCTTCAGAAATTCAGTTTCTGGAAGAAAAGAAGTCATACAAGCTTCAGCACTTGGGCTGACCCACTGAAATCAGTGGAGGTACCTTTGCCAAGGTGGACTTTGACCCGTGGATTCACAATGAACAAAAATTATTTCTTGAAGAGTTGTTTAAATAACTAAGTAACAACAGGCTCCCATGGGATAAGAGAGCATGAAAAAGAGAAAAAGAGAGAAGGGGAATGAAGCAATCAGAAGGGAGAAAGGATGGGGAAAAAAAAAAAAAAAAAAAAAGGCTAGAAATGATCTAGAGGATAAATAAAAGCAAAGGGCATGCTTAAAGCACAGGACAAGAAAATGACAGACAAAAGAAACAGGAATAATGACAGAGAGAAAGAAAAAAAAAAAAAGAAAAAGGCTTAAAATAAGAGTGGGTACTCGTAATGCTGAAAAGAGAGATAGAAACAATAGTAAGAGGGGAAGAGAAGAAAGACTGGCATGAGGCCTTGGTGGCACTGTGAGGAGAGAGGCTAGAAAAAAGCCTCAGCACAACAATAGAGGGATGAGAGACAGAGGCGCGAGGGGGGCAGCACAGATTAAATGAGAACCAAATGTAACCGTAACAAAGGTTCCGAGATATAGGCAATGAAAACATCTTAACAGGGAAATGTTTTTTTGTATGTGTGTGTGCACGTGTGTGTATTTTCACATACTCAAAAAGATTCTTTCTCTCCGCCAAGAAACACTCCCTCCCTGCTCTCCCCATCCACCAGCTCCCCCTCCACCCCCCCAACCCAGAACAGCTCAGTCTCAAAAGCAAAGGCAAGGAACACTCAGTGTCACTCTGGACTTCAATTATTATTTCTTTTTCTTTTCCTTTCCTTTCTCAATTTTCAAACAAGCACCTCCATGGAGGCTGCCCCTCCTTAAAATCCATTTTTAAAATTCTCTCTTGCTGTGATGGCTGCAAAAGATGTGACAATTGGCAGGCTGCTGCTGTGCTGAAACTAGTGTTTGTTGTGCTGACCAGTTTTCTAGCTGTTTCCTCATAATTCTTAGATGGCTTTTCATACCCGTTTATTGTCTTTCCTCTTGGAGTGGAAGCACTTTAAGATGGGGCTGTCTCTGTACCTGTGCAGCAGCCAGTGAAGGGCAATATTAACAAAGGTTCTCCTGTGATTTTTGCAAGTCACTTTTGAAAATTTCTTCCTGTTCCTGAGGGATTCAAATATGGCCTTTTTCTTGGTTGAAAATAAGCATTTAGATGCATTCCTGTTTACACATGCCACAGCAGAGCTCCCACAGAAGCCTCCAGACCTGAAGGAAAGTCATAGCAGCACCTACACGGACTGAAGGCTATGGCTCCGGTGATGCTGGTGCAGTGGGGTGGCAGGGACTGTGTAGCATGGACTTGTCATGCAAAGCCCTGCAAGCTCCCTTCTCACTTTCCCATGACGCACTGTTGCAGGTGAGTGTCTTGTCTGTGCACAGTCCCTCAGGGTGGGCTTGTCTTGGCCCAGTCACCCACAGAGCACAGCAAGAGCCAAGAGAGCATGAGGTAGAGAAGCAAAAAGTGTTCGTGTTTATTGTGTGTTGTGTGCTTGGGGAAGTAGTCAATCCTGGTTCCTTTGTGCCCTTGAGAAGGGTGCAGGAGGACTCCCTTGAATGTGAGCCTTCTCTGGAGAGAATTAGATTATTGTCCTCTCCAACCCAGGTGGCTGTCCCCTGTCACACTGCTTTGATCTGCTCTTGACTACCATTTTGTTCCTGGTGCCCGGGACAGCAGATACCTCACTGACCGTATGACAGGAATGCATCTATACTGCTCAAACATCTGATGGAAAAGACATCTGTTGATCCTGCTGGAAAATGAGTGGCTTTATGAAGCACATGTAGGGCAGTTGCTCAGTTCTCTTCTGTAAAACAGCACAGAAAGATGGCAACACCTTCCAGTACCTGCTGCTCAGACAGGTGGTACAAGAGCCCCTAAATCTGTGTGCAGCGGTATAGGGATATATGGAAGATGTACCTTAAATATTGACTGTCACTGATATTTCTTGTCAATTTCTCTTCAAAAGACAGCTGCTGCCAGACTCAAACTGGTCATTTGGGACAAGAAGGAGAACATGGGAGAGGAATAAAATGCAATTATTTACAGTGTAACCAAGCAGTTTTTACACAGAGGGTGATATAAAAGTGAGGGAAGCAACAGAAGTGAGGAACAGTTGCTATCTTAATAGAAGAGCAGCTTCCTGCAGCTTCCTGGTTCCTTAGATTTTTATTTTAATACTTTTGTACCAAGACCAAGCAAAAGAAACTCCTCAACTACTAAGTGCAACTTATGGGGCAAAGTGGGGAACTGCTGTGAGTACTGTGCTTCAGAGGAGCCAGTGCTCCTAAGGTACTACTCAGGTACTGTTCAACATACAGGTTGAAATAGGCTTAAATTGTAAAGTTTGGATAAAAAACTGCAGATAATTCCAAATTTCTGTAAACCTATTTGTGCATATGTTATGTAGGAGGTTGCAAGAATGAAGTTCTGCAAATGAATCTGAATTTCCCAAAGGTCTGGACTGTACTTTCATGCCAAGAAATCGCATTATTGAGTTTTTAAACAAATGATCATTAATGATGATCTTAATGATCATTGACATTGTTCTTGTAGAGGAGTCAGGGAAATGTCACGCAGTGCAATCCTTGCTGCTAAAGGGTTAAACTCTTTCTTGGCTGGGGCAGCTTGCTGACCTAGCTAAGAGAAAAAAGCTATAGGTCAGCGAGTGAGATTGCCCTTCCTTTAGAAGAACTGCCCAGACAGTCCAGGAAGATTACAATAAGTGTGTAGAGACTAAGCTAGGAATTAGAGACTAGGGAGTGCTGATTTCAATTCTTTTATGTGCAGTCTTTGGGCTAAAATCCAGGGAGTTGAATTAGCATAAACTGTTCCAGTAACCCCGAGGATATATTACTCAGCCCCACCTAGCTGGAGGGCTTGAGCACCACCATACCTGGAACTGCTGACACTCGGACAGGAAGCTGACAGATAAAAAGATAGATTGGTCTGATCGGGTAAGCGGAGGCATGGCTAAACGATTTACACAGGGCCAAAGAGAATGCGGAAGGGAAGAAGACACTGAAAGAAATCTAAAGATTATTAATATTCTTCTCTCATTGAGGCTTTCTCTTGTTCTCCAGCTCTGAGATAAAAGCAGGTGGTGAAGGCAATGCTGAACATGTTCAGCACATTCAGCTGAACACAATTCACAGAAATGGAGTTGCATTTCAGTCAATGCACAGGTAGGTTGTATCAAAAAAAATAAAATCTGGATAATGCGAGACATGATCCTCCTGTTGGCCCATTAAAAGGGTTTGGAGCCTTGGAACAACAGCAATAGAGAGGGTCCTCAATCTACTACTTCTCTGGGTGGAGCACAAGCAGAAGAAAATGTGGATGCTCGACAGTTGTCAACTGTAGATACAAGAGCTGATAATTTACCAGCAGCAGTATCTCCAAATTAGCATCCTAAGTGTTTGGAGATGCCAGACAGCCAATGGCAGCCAGATTTACAACTGATAAGCTCGCTGTTTGAGCTCACAAGTACCCAGCACCCCATGTCAGCTGGCTGGCACCTGTTCTCACAAAAATAATACAACTAGTGTATTACACTCTGCAACAGCAGTTGACAATGTGACCATGAGTAGCACCATGTTTAATTACAGTCATACTTCACCTTCTGGAATTAAACAGTGGGAAATACCAACTGTGAATTCATCAAGAAGAGATTTGGTTAGGAGAAGAGGGGAGTGGCTGTGCATTGGTTTAAAACTAAAGTCACAGATGGAGCTGGTAAGGCAGAGGCCTGGAAGTGTCTGTAAGAAGCTGAACGGGGAATCTGAAAGCAATTCCTTAAACTTCTGCCAGCTGAAGAAGAAGACAGTGCTAAAGCCCTAATTAGAAGTCTGGTGAGAAATCTTTCTGGGGAAAACCACCTGCAGGCAGATTGCTTTCAAATGTGGTCTTGCAAATCACTCTGAAACCAAGGGAGCCAGCCTTAGCCATAGTGCTTATAATACACGGAGACAAGGACCATCTCCCCTCCATGCTGACCTGTGCTCCAATGCAATTACCTCTGCAGCTGATTGTACAAGCCTCTTCCTCACAAGTGGGAGCTATTTTCATAGACCTCATTGTTTTAGACAGTTTTAGAAATGATGGTCTATTTCTAATGTAAGAGAGCCCTGACAGTGGCATCCCTGCTAATGGACTGTAATTACAGGATTGATCCCACTTCCCTGCCAATATGAACCCTTCTGTGCTTTCTAAGGCAACAACAACAGCATAAATCAATGGTCTGCCACAACAAGCTTCAGTGGATTCAGGGTGAGTAGACCTTCCTCTATACACAGTAAAGCTTGCTAAATGGGGACAACACACACCTGATTAGCATAGTATCATTAACTTATCTCCATGGACATGTGGAGGACTGTCCTTGTACTGTACTTCATTTAACAGCTGGCAAGAAACTGATCATTTTCAACATAGGTCTTTACACTTAAGAGTGGCATTATCTGTGTTAGAAGAAGCAGCAGGAGCTGCAGAAGACATAGAACAAATGTTGAACAAGATTCTCCTCTTGGGGGAGAATGATCTTTTTCTTCCGAGAAGACATGGCACAGACATGTTATTGGATAGAAGCAGGGAAACTATCAGAACACAGACATTGACTTTACAGTCTCTCATGGATCAAGCAAGGAAAGTCATGTTAATAAAGCGAAACACTTGTTTATGGAGCAATAAAGACTTTTTTGGTATATTCATGAAAAATGATAGCTACTTCATATTTTTGTATTTGAAAGTGAGACATCTGTTATGTAACATTACTAAAATTAAACTTGTAAAGGATAACAGATCTGATTCACCCTATGTGTTTTGACAGGAACCATTAAATCTGTTGCACAAAAGCCTTGGTCCTGTTTTGAGCAAAGTTTCAGCTATGCCTGTTCCTGACCATACAATATACTGATGTAGGTTCTGACCCTGAAAAACAGATTTGGTCTCCTTGTTTGACTTCAGACCTTCCTGGTCACTACAGGCTTGTCAGGTAATCTTAACTCTTACTTGAAACCAGCTTCTGTCCCTGGACTTGCTTTGCCCACATTGCTGGGGTGCTGCAGGTCTAGGCTACTGAGAGCCATGCCCTGCTTGCATTGCTGCTGTTCTCAGCTCCTGACTTGCCTTCCTTTACTGAGCAGTCCACTCTCTCATTCCCTGACATCTAGGGTCTTTTTTTTTTTTCTGTGTGGTCACTTCTGTGTACCCAGTAAAGACACCTAGATGCAGTAATTCTCATGTCATTAACAGCAGTGTCCTTAACGTGATGGGGTCCTGTAGCAAGCTTATGCAGAATACAATTCTTTTATGGTCTTTTGAAGTCAGACCTGCTACTCAGTAACTTAGTTGGATCCAATAACACCCAATGTCTTTGTCAGACTCAAATGTTCTGAACGTCCTAAAGGATGATCTGTAAGTGAACAACAAAATAGTATGTGCTTCTAATGAATCAAGAATCTGTGTGTGCTGTCATGTGAATCAAACTGATGAGTTAGTGCAGTGGTTCAATTAAACTCAGAGGGAAATGATCAAGTGATTTATGTAAACCAATTGCTTCAACCAGAAGATATTGCTGCTTATTAACAGAGAGAATAGTTTCATCAGGGTTTCCCCTTTTTGGCATCCTATGTGGTCCACATCCAATGAAAAAATGTCTGAGGAGACAGGAAAACAATGCCCCTGCCATCATGAAGTATACCCAGAAACTAAAATGTTGGCTAAGGAATTTATGAGACTTTGCACAACATCATGTCTACTGGGTCCAGATAAAAGTAAGAACAAACAGATCAAAATGGGGCCAGAGAAAGAAAATGTGAGTCTGGAACTGAATCTTGGTGTTAGTGTCCAGCTGGCCACATTATTAGACAGATGGCAGGTTCAATATCAAGCCCTTGGAAGGGTCATCCCAGCAAATTACAAGATCTGCCAACTGGATATGGAAAAAGAAGAAAAAAAGACAAAAAGCCAGATCTATCATGTCCATCTGTTGGGCAGACAGACAGCCAGAGAAGGAGTTCTCATAGTCCCATGTATGTATGGTCCAGGACTGGACCTAAGTGATAATTCCTCAGAGTACAGACTATACCAAACAGATATCTGATCTTTGTACAATACAAAATGATGACTTGTCTTGTAGACATGTTCCAGGCTATCTTTTTCTAGATCTATTGCATGAAGTATCTCCTATCTTCTAGTACTCATTTCCATACTCCCATTTGGTTGTCCAATATCCTTTGTGAGGGCACATAAGGACTGGCAACAGAAGAACTGTAGAAAAACAAAGCATTTGGCACAGGGTCATTGATCTTAGTGCTAGCCCAAAGTAGCAGTGGAAAATTCTGCAATGGCCTCCCAGAGATATGCATTTGAATTAAATTGTTCCCCATGCTGGGCATAGGACAAGCATGGTACTTGTCCCTAAAACTGACCTACCAAACTTTAGGTAGATATCCATTCATCAGGTAATCCTCTAAGAAAGCTTTCTTTTTCAATCAATATTTCTCTGTCCTGAGGACTGTTGTCCATTATACAAAACACAGCAGCAATATTTCAAAGAAAAATTCTTACAACCTCGCAGAGATTACATGGGACTTTAAATGATGGTGTGAATTGGAAATAACATCTGGAGAGGAGATCCCATTGGAATACACTATGGAAATTTTGTTCTAAGCAGTAGATCCTTCAAATAAGTGACTAGAGGATATAGTACCAGCAATACCAATTAGGACCATGACGTCACTGCAAACTTGCCATTGAAGGTTGCTTAATCTTTGTGGCCAAGTGAGAACTATTGTGCAGCTATTAAATGATTTTTTTTTATGCTGAACTTGATGCATCTTTTGTGGATCTAACCTAGACATCTTTTGTTTGGAGCACAAAGGTTTAGTATATTGAGCCTTGAGTTTTTAGATGGCGCATTTAAAACCTTAACTATTTTATACACGATAGCACTGTTACAGGAACACGAGGAAAAAGAATATAAAATGTTGTATTCAAGCCCCAAAGCTCAACGTGGTAATGAAGGTCGCCTCCAATGTTCAAAGGTACATTGAGACACTGAAATACTTTTTTTAACAGTAACATTTTATTTTGTTTTACTTGCCACAGCTAGTAGCTTGGAAATTAGGATACTGTCACTAACTTACAATCATTTTATTTCATGGTGCAGTGTTGCCCTCAATGACAGAGAATATTTGCACCCTGTATTTTGTTCAGGATGGGATTTTGGGTAACAGGAAACTTTAATCAGGAAATTAGTTTCTAATACACGCTTCATATCTGAACTAAAACACTGATGTGGATGCACCTGTAGCCAACTGATACAGCACAGTTCATGTCTACCTAACCTCTCTCTCACTCTGTCTAACTCCCAGGCAGGGTAAATGTATCTACATGGAGAAATGGGAACAGTCTCTAGCCCATGCTGAATGCTGAGTCATGCCCACTACTTGTCTGAGAGAATGTTGGATTGTCTGATCCAAAGACATGTCACGTACCATATTAGTAGTTTTACAGTATGGATAGTGTGTGCCAGTGCTTGGGGCATGCCCTAATCGTACTCAGTTTACTGACATAGGTGTAGCTGTAGCATCCCAGAAAAAGGGTAGGGGTATGAGGATATAGAGAGGCAAACCAGATTCAATTACCAGCTGCTGAAGCCTACATAGATGAGTGGTTCGTATTTCATGGGGCTAGAAACTTTTAACATTTTAAGAGATTATGGTCATCCAGATCTGGCACAAAGGAGTAGAAAGAATGATTTTTATGGAGGTCTAGCATAATAACTGGAAATTTGAGTAGGGAAGTAATGGAGATCCCATGGCAAACCTTTAACTTTCCTCTGCTTTTTCTGAGCTGCAAGAGGGGAAAAGCTGACAAAGGCAGACTCCGAATGAAAGAGAGTTGGTACTCAATTAATGGTGCTTTATGATCTGCACTGCACACTGCTGCATCTGTAATATGAAGCATCTTACATGCACGTTGTTAACATGCACTTGCTAGGGACCCAAGGGATCAAATACATAACAGGAAGACTGGGGCGGGGGGGGGGGGGGGGGGAGAGGAGCAACACAGTTTGTGAAATAAACAGTAATGAACTGAAGATTTTTAAAACACTCAGTAAATGTATGATTTTTATAAGGCTCATGAAGGCATCACAGACACTATTTCTCAGCTTTCCACATTTTCACATTCATTATGATTTCCTGAGATTTCTGAGAATTGTTGGGCTTCTTAAGAAGTGAATGAAAGTGGGGGCAGTGGCACAGTTTCTCAGAGAGGACAAAGAAACATGGGTTGATGTGCTAGTATCACAGCAAGCTAAGATAGACACCAACCAAATTAGGAGAAACAGAGCTGGGGCTGTGCCTCCTGAGCAGGGGAACAGTTGCAGACTTGGACAAAGAAGCATTTCTACACCACACAAAGGATCCCCCCACTGCTTGAGTCAGCAATAGCAATGCTAACTTGTCTCATCCAGAAGAAATTTTCATCACTCTTGACTCAGTGAAATCCTTCAGGAGACAATATTTATCCAAGCAGTATCTTAGTGTCACTAGGCAGAGCAGCAACACAGCAGCATCCATGTAATTGAAGCCACAGCATGTCATTGCATGTAGTGAAAGCAGCTCCAGACAAGGTTACCAGATCTGTGGAAGCAAGGCCCATATGAGATATAGTGGCCATTAACTTTCCTTGTCTTTATCCTTTTCATTATGTTTGACAAGCAGCAGGCAGCAAAGAGGTTTTGCCACGATGCAATATCCAGAGTCAAAATGTGTGACAAAATTGTACTCAGTAGGCAAGGTCCCATTTACAGTTTGAGTTTGGGGATGGTCTTATCTGTTTTCCTTTATGCACAGAGAGAGTGATTAAAGACTCATTTTCATTTCCTTTTATACCGTACTGTTATAATCCAGATAATTTCAGTATCCTTAATCAACATTTGGAGGAAGTAAATAATGCTATGCTAGTAACAGTCTTGTGCCGTAAACATTTCTTAAGTCATGCAACAAGGCCACAAGGAGGGTAAATATCAGATTGTCCCACTTTTATAGAGAGAGAAATGGAAAAAGAGACTGGTAAAGTGACTGATCTATGATTATAATAGCATGTGTCGGGCTGGGGATTCCCAGCTGTCCTGTATTTAAAAACCAGAGAGTTCTGCATGAAAATCTACTATGTGAATTAGTCTATAGATTTTAGCATGAAGAAAAAAAATCCAGTTTATGGAAAGATTTACTGCTATTTAATGAAGGATGATTGTTTTGGTAACAAGGCAGTGGATGACTAGAGAAAAAGATGAACAAGTTACCACTCATTACCTGTTCCACAAGGAAAAAGCAAAGATGATGAACAAGCTTGTTAACAGATATGACACCCCAAGCAACCATGAAGCACTTGCTGAAACAGTTGGGATTTTAGTGCCAAACATCTTGATCTTATCACTATCACATTACATGGCTAAATAATACAGAAGTGAATGTGATGTGTTCCCTCCAGTGACAATGTTATCCCATAAATGGAAAAGTGTGGAAAAAGGAATGTGCTATATAAGCATAAAATATAGATGTAGGCCTTAATTTCCACTAAAATCAATGAGCCTGGCCAGTGCTTTGCACTTGTGTAGCACATTCCATCTTCCCTATATTATTGGCTCACCAATTAGAAAAATTAAAAAGCCAAGATAGGGCGAGCAGCTGCAATGTTCAACAAACAACACAGAGTGCAGCACCTCAAGAAAATAAATCATATTATCCATAAAAGGAAAAAATGATAGCAAACTTAAATGCCTAAGATATGTGACTAGTCCATTATCTTTATCTCATATTCTTCCAGTTTACTTATCGCTCAATAAGCATGGCACTCCTGACAAATGTAATTTGAGTCTGCATACAGGTCTCATCTTAAAAAACTGGGCAAGAGATCTATTTTTGACCTCCTGTAATGTTATGATTTACCTTTCTAAATTATATTCTTTTTTGCCTGAAGTGTTGAAGACATGACATTTTTTTCCTTTTCTTGTTTTGTTTTGAATGCCACTATGACTCAGCTTGCCTGTAATCACAAAACAATGGGAACATGACAGTTTCTGGCAGAGCACATGAGACATTTTATCACTATAACAGACACTCAAGATGGTATGATTGCAAGGGGAAAAATATGTCGGGTCAAATTAAAATACAGACCAGACAAGAAAAATTAGCATCAAACCTATATTTCAGACACCATGCAATGAAGTTTCATTACATGTGTATACATAAACAGTACGAGCCACAGGAGCAGGATACAAAACAAGGAAGAGAGTGCTCTCTTCTTCCACAAAGCCAGATATCCTCCTACAAGTGCCTGCAGGAAAGACATGCTAGCCAGTGCAAGCACCTGACCTGTGCTTGCTGCTGTACAGGTCAAGGCAGCACTAGGGATCCTGTACCTCTAAACAGTGGGGACCAAGTCTTGATCCTGTTCTCAATGACTGTCGATTTTACAGTATAGTCACAGTCAAATGTTCAAACTGTCATGTAGGTATCCATCCCAGCCTCACCAAGCCTGCCTGTTGAGGCTTGTTAACAGATATGACACTGAGCCACTGGGGCTGCCCTGGGTAAGCCTAGGCAGGTTTGTTGGTTTGTAGGGTTCATGCTCATGCTGGATGCATTGGATACAGGCAGGGCTGGACATGTCCAACAGCTGGGAGTCTGAACTCGGTCACTGTGTGGCCCCACTGAGGCTGGTCGATAGTCCAATTAAAGCCAACAGTGAGGAAAGGAAGATCACAGTCATGGTACTTTTATCTATTTTACAATTTCATTCTTCTGATACAACAGACATGGCCAAGAGATCTCAGTGTTCCAGCTAGTGACTGGGATCTGGACATACAGAACAAAATGGAGAGTCAGAACTAATTCTATGTACACCTGAACCTTTTGGAGATCCTTCTGTCATAAGTGTTTTCCCTAAGTTCCAGAGATCCCTGAGTTTATGTGGTTCTAATGACAGATGAGGTACAGTTGGGTCTGAACTACAAACCCAGGATTTTTTGTGTGGATGCTTCTGAGAAAATATGGTTAAAATGTTATGAAAATTTAAATGGTCTCTACACATCCTGATTCTTGTCAGAATCAGTATCTAGCCAGTTGGAAGATATTTAGATGTTATTCTGACCTTGTTGCCTACCAGAACTGTCAGAAAGCCTGCTCTTACAGGAAAAAAAAAAAAAAAGAAAAAAAAAAAAAGAAAAAAAACTATTCCAGATATCCAAGTCATGCAGACTTTTTGGGGCAAAAGAGCTCTCAAATCAAAGCTTGGTTAAGACAAAACTCTCCTTGGCCTCTATGAACTTTGAATAAACTTAAAAGTAGATCATGGATATCACATTACTTCAAATACTTTATTTTCTGCATAAATCCAGCCTACAATGTCAATGAAGGAAAAAGATCTAATTATTATCTGGGCAATGACTGCCTTATCCACTGGGGAAGAATGCCACACATTCCTCCTGTTCTTTCCTACTTTGATTCTTAGGAGACAAAATATTTGGTTTCATTTTTCCTTTAGTAGATAATATGCCAACATTAGCTGATATGAGGCTGTCACCCGCTCACTCTTTATAAGTAAATTACTACAAGCTTACTGTTTAATCTTGCTGATTGGCAAGTCTAAGAAATATATATCTGTAAAGGGACCTGAGCTGTTAATCAGTGCGCCAGCATCAAATTAAAAAATGTTCTCTGTCATGCAGACGATTGGCTGGCTAAAGCAAATAAGACAGAAGTCCAAGAAGCTGCTGTGCCTTTTTCTGTGAAGTGAACAAACTCTTTCATGTCATGTATTTCTATGCAACAGAATCTAAGCAGAACACCCAGGGAAACCACACAAGAAAGGCAGATGTTTGGACTAACTTCTAATCACTACTTTTTGATTGACAGTTTGGTTGGCTTTGTGTAGCTGCTGAGGAGACCTGCATGGGAAGTGGGACCTTTCCCAGGAATTGTGAGGCCACCTGCGACTTTAAACCTTCCTTCCTTCTACAAGTTAAATGGTACCATGAGGATTCCAGTACTAGGAATGCTGGTATGTCTGATCCCTCTGCTTGAGTTCAGGGAAATGGTTTTAAATGGGTTAGAGATTGAGCTCATGCAGTAAATCACATGCAAGATGTTGTTGAATTATTTCATGCAAATATTTAAAAATCAATTACCCGTATTCTTCCTTGAGTTCTGTAGCTGGTCAGTCGGTTGCCAATTTAGGTTGCTATTGCTGGCCCAGCAGCCTGCAATATATCGACCACTACGTGGAAGTTGGTATATTTTGAATAAATTAGGTCTAAAGAGAATAAAACATTGCAGATTGCTTTTTAGCCCAGACATTCCTAAAAGACATATTCAGGGAAGTGGTAATTCAAGAATAACTGGATAGGAAATTGCCCAATCAATGTAGTTTGATGTTTACATATAATTTCACAATATGTTATTATGCTAACCACTTGATTGGCATATATTTATATTGTCATGCTTTCCAAGCACTCAGGAAATGTGGACCTAAGGAAGGGGTGATTTCTTTGGGAGATGAAATAGTTGTCAAATACAAAGAATACTGATTGCTGCTCCACTTTGCTTACCATTTCTGCCATCCTTAACAGAGAAATAAAATGGCAAAGCCCAGTGCAGCTGACAGGTCACAGATGAAGAACAACATTTTCTGAATCCAAGAGAGTTCAGCATCTTTGTGCTAATGGCTTTTTACCATTTTGACCATAATGTGCTTCCAAAATCTGTTGCAAAAACTTTCAGCCCTAACCTGCTTTTCACACCATCATACAGCGTGGAGTTGAGTCTATGTTGACTCCGGTATGTCTACATTTTAATATAGTTTCCATTAAGCCCGTGCAATAGTGCTTTCTCCTCGCAAAGGAAGGGTTTTCATTCTAAATAAGCAAGCAAACATTTCATATTGGTCCTTGCTTATCACAGTTAGTCCTGTCCTTATAAATAACATTAATAGTTCAATAGCTTTTGTACTTTTGCCACACTACCACTTAGTCAGTTTCCATCAATCACATGCTGAAATAAATCTCTGATAGAATCAAATTAAGTGCTCTGTGAACAGTTTACATCACTTCCCGAGCTTGGTCCCTGAACAAGGACTCTCCAGTGCCTATTGAATATTTACTTCATGCTACCCACTGCACAATACATTCTATTGCTCTTATCCAGAATCCCCATCCTTAATGAGTCTTTTAGCATGTAGAAGGGAAAGGTTTATAAATAACTACACTATCAGAAAACACCCTCAAGCACTTCCTTTTTGCAGTATTTACTAACAGCTTTTCTATGTTATTTTTTATTATTTATCTTGAGTTTAAAATCAGACTTTTTTTGTGTCACGTTCAATATTCTACGGGAAAATATATATAGCAGATCTTGTCTCGCCAACTGCCATTCACAAATTGCCTGTAAGATGCAAAGCAAAGTGACATGTAGCCCAGAAAGTCATTATATGCTATGATAGATCCAATTGTGTCTGTCCCTAATGGATTCTTATATAAGTTCTGCCCTTAAGGTTACTTCCATGAAAAGCAACATTCAAGAAACTAGTCCCCATTCTGGAAATGGCTGCATGGACATATCTCTCAACAGGTGGTTCCTGCTCTTTGTCCCTGAATTCAAAGTAACCCCTGAAGAACAACTCTTGGCTGACTATTGTGATAATTAGGAAAAGAATAATATCTCTAAACATATTCAGAATAAATGAACCTAAATGTGGCACGAGTAAGCTTAACTAAAAGTGTTGCACTACTCTCCTTCTGCCTTTGATTATGAGAAGGAATTGGTGTTAAAAATCCCATCCATATGAAGAACTAGGAATCTGTCCATCATTCTAGAGTAAGTCCAAAACCAATTTAGAAAAAAAGGCTATAACCTGCAGTTCCCATTTCTCCCATTATAAAACCTACAGATTAAAGACACTCCTTGGAGAAGAATTGCTGCCACTGTTGATTAATTTGACTGTTCATATTTTTGAAGTAATTGTCTAAAGAGTTAAAAAAAAAAAAAGGCAAAACAAAACAAAAAACTCCTATGTTTAGAATGAGCGCTTGTATTTATTTCTATCTTACAAAATATTAAATAGTCTTAAATACAAAATGATCTTTCCTTTCATTCTTCTAGCAGCATTTACCTGTTGGTTTTACCTGTATACAGCATTTACCTGTATACGCCTACTCATTTAAGGTGGAAGAAATATCTGCTTCTGCTTGTTTTATATATGTATAAATATTTAATTTTATTTATATATTATATAATATTATATAAATATATATATATATATTTGTTTTTCCCTTTATTCCTTTTCCACAGGTTTCTGTCAGATCAGAACTGGAAAGAATTACCATAGTTTCATAGAATCCGGGTTATGTTATTTCTGTTGTTGTAGAAGATATGTCATCTGATGGGTCAAATTCATAGTAATTTTCAGATTAATCAGATTTTTTCTCTGATTTTGCAAATAATTGTAATCATAGCAAGTATTATGAAGATTATAAGTGGAAAATCTCTCTCTTTATCAATAAAGTCATTGGTTTCTTGCAGAAATTGAAATGAAAATCTTTGGTGAATACAGTAGAATTATGTACAAATGCATTTTATCTTATTTTACTTTATTTTTGGTTTTAATTCTGTAGAAAAATCTTTCACATTTAAAAGCATATTTGCTAGAAAAAGGAAACCTGAGGTGAAGTTTTTCCTGAAGAACATGGACATGGAATTTTTTCAACTTTATTCTTCTCAGAAAGTGTTTTCATGTTAATATGCAAAAGGACTCAATTTTGTGCTTTTACAACACATTTTCAAAGTAATATGTTTGTTTAAAAACAGGTACATTTTGTTAAGAAATGCTTGGATTTAATCTTTTTACACATATAAACATTTTTAGGTTTTATACAAATAAGGACTCTTAATGTAGCTTTATGTTTACTTGATATTATTCTGCACAGTTCTATATGAGAACTTGCCAAAAAGTATTTATAGATAAATTTTGCTTGATACAATGTAGGATCTTCAGTTTCATGTCCATTACTGCAATGTATATGTGATTCAGGTGTGCAACTTCATTGTACAATATACTTTGCTATTTCACAGTGATGAATGGAATAGGATGGTGGCACAAACTTTTAACAAAGTTCAGAGACCGCAATAAAGGTGGATCTAAAAGCTAATTCCTTCTGTCAAAACCATTTAAATCACTGAAGGACCTAGGCATTACTCTTCCTTTGCAACTGCAGTAAAGTCCACTAAGATGTCAACTCACAGTGATGGGAAGGTCCTTATTCTCCACCTCAATAGTACTAAAGAAGCTAATGTTTATTTATTTATTTATTTATTTTGTAAATAAGTCCACATGCAGCGGAACCATAAAACATCATTTTGCTCCTTCCAAAAGTACTACCATGTAATGTCTGTAGCTTTGGTTTTTATTTAATTTTTTGATTAAAGTTTTTATTGATTTCCCTGCAGTGTAGAATATATCAATATCTTTGGTTTCAAAGGAGCATTCAGTAGCACAGAAACACAGAAGGACTCAACATAGAAGCAGGTGCTTTATTTTAAATTTATGAAACCTCCATAGCAAATCCCCCGAGCATGCTGCCAGCAATACCTTTCAATTGTGCAACTCAGCCTCTCTTGTTGAACCAAGTCCCTTTGGTGCCTCCCAGTTTGCAGGCTTGTGTTTTTTAACTAGAAAAAGGCTTGTTTAGGAGTCAGTAGGAACTAATATTGTTATATAGAAAGCTTTTAAGCCATCAAGTGAATTCCATTAAAGTTACTGTAAATCATGTGTGCTTATCCCTTCTCTGCCATTGGCAGGTTATGGCATGCTGCCTAGGAGATGGTGCCTGGGAGAGGAGGTGAGAGGTCCTTCTGTCAGAACCTATAGGGATGAGTATGCCTTGCACTTCTTCTGAAGAATTATAGCCTGGGCACATCATGAACGATGACACCAAAGTCTTGGTCACTGGTAGACACACACCTATAAATTCTATGATGTTTTACACCTGTGATAAATTCCATTAGCTCACGTTTACAGGACTTCAGACAAAGCCATTGTCCAATTTCCATGTGTTCTCCCTCTAGAGCTCAGCTGTTGTATTATAGTAACATGTTTTGAAAATGAACACACCAACAACCTTGTATGGGGAAATCATTACAACTCACTCATCTCTGAGTGCATGTACACAACTCCTGGTATGTCATGAGGAGACCAGGTCATGGAGGATGAGTGAACTAATAAATAACATAGGTAGAAAACCCTTTCACAGAAAATACAACCCAAATCCCCTACAATACTTGCGAACTTTATTGAATAAACAGAGAAAAGGACAAAGAAGAAATAAATAGTACAAATTAATAAACATTTATTTATAATAATTATTATGTTAAACTGTTTAATTTATAGAAATTAAATAAATAAAAATGGAGCAGAATTTACCTGAATGAACACATGAGATCATTGATGTGGTTTCTTTGGACAGGAAGGAGGCTGCCTAATAGCCTCCTTGACAAGCCTCTGTCTGATCAGTTCCCGTTTCCACTTTAGAGACATTCAACATCTAAGTGGTTTGTAAAGGGTTAATCAATTATTAATGATGTCTGAATACATAATAGACACAAGGGGCCATGCCACAGCTGGATGTAAGTGTTCTGGCATACAGTACTATTGGTAGTGATGAACCATGGATAAAGCAACCTGTTGACATGTTAGACTGCTTACAACCTTATTAAACATCTATGAACAGCTATGAAAGGTGTTAGCAAACCTTTGAATGTATTTTGCAAGTAAATCCTCAGTAGAACATGTAATCCTTTTCCCTTTCATTTTATCAGTCCATTGCTTTTAATCTCTAAAATCAGAGCAGAGCATAAGGCAAGGTGGCAGAGGTGTATGTGCACAAACAACAAAGAGAGAGCGAATGTTTGGAGGGCTGAAGCAAGCCTTCTGTGGCCTTCGCTGGGAGAGGAGACAGACTGGGATGGCTTCTCTTCAGTAAAAACAACATGCTGAAAGAATTCCATAAACACAGATGAACTTTGTTTTACTACAAGGGTGGCCATTCCTCTTGGCGCTATGAGCCACATGCCTGAATCTTTGTGTGGCTGAGGGCCATGAGACACATACCTCGGGGACCCAAAGGGAAGGAAGGGGACCTCCAGGAGAGTTTTAGAGGCAGGAAACACTAGCTGCTCCCCAGGGCCCTGCCGAGGACTTGGTGGTGTGCAGTGGCTGTTATGCTGAGTTTCCCAGTGACCCCCCCTCAATGGCAATTTTGGCTGGCTCTGCTGCCAGGGCTCTGGCTTGCTCAGTAGAGTGCAGCTCACACACCACCTCCCTGCACAGTCGCTTTGGCACATTTTGCCTAGGTTTAGCCCCAGGACAAGTACCACATTTCAGCTGCTTGCCAGCCTCAAACCACCACTATTCTACAAGAACAAAAATGAAAAATAACCTGGTGAAAGGGAAAAGTGTGTTTATTTTGCTAACCATAGCTGTTATCTCATGCTGTCTTTGTTATTTCATCCCATCAGTCTATTTCTTATTGTGCGTAGATTAGGTGAACTCTTGAGCAATAATCCTGTTTTCACAATGAGATTATCCCAATTCCTAAACAAATTGATAAAAAAAGTCTGCACATCCTTGTATCTTACAAAATCTAAGAGGGAACCACATTTACCTGACTGACCACTGCACTGCACTACTCAGTTCTCCAGTCTTGACAAAAACCATTAAACTCCTTGGGAACTTTGTCCCAGAAGTTATGAGGTACTATTCCTGTTATGGCTTTTAAAATGAATTTGTTCCACTCTCAGGTCATGTTCAAACCACCACCAACTAGTTAGTAATATTATTATTAAGGTCTTAAAACAGCATGTTTTAGTGCACAGATGCATGGTCTCTTTTTAAGCATTGGCAGAATATTTCCATCCTGCCAAGCTTAGTTTCAGATATCTTAACCCCACAAAAACCTCATCACTCTTCACTGGAACACCACAAAAACCCCTAACAAGCAGACAGGGAAACATTTGTTCCTCCTTTCCCCTTCCAGAACATCTGATCATTCAGGACCCAGCATAAATATTTCCTGGCTGACTTCACTTTGCATATGAACCATTTTTTGAGGAGTTTTCTCCTTTTCTTTCTCTTTCTCTTTTCCTTTCTCTTTCTCTTTCTCTTTTTCTTTTTCTTTTTCTTTCTCTTTCTCTTTCTCTTTTTCTTTTTCTTTTTCTTTTTCTTTTTCTTTTTCTTTTTCTTTCCCTTTCCCTTTCCCTTTCCCTTTCCCTTTCCCTTTCCCTTTCCCTTTCCCTTTCCCTTTCCCTTTCCCTTTCCCTTTCCCATTTCCCTCCTTCTCCTTCTCCTTCTCCTTCTCCTTCTCCTTCTCCTTCTCCTTCTCCTTCTCCTTCTCCTTCTCCTTCTCCTTCTCCTTCTCCTTCTCCTTCTCCTTCTCCTTCTCCTTCTCCTTCTCCTTCTCCTTCTCCTTCTCCTTCTCCTTCTCCTTCTCCTTTCTTTTTTTTCTTTCTCTCTCTCTCTCTCTCTCTCTCTTTTTTTTTTTTTTTTACAACCATCATTGTAATTTGTCAGCAAGCAACTTGGGCCAATCTCACAAATAGTTTAGTTAACAGCTTATGAAATGAAATGATGTAAGGGACCACTCTAAAGAGGGTCAATTTAAACAGGCTGCCAAGTCTGTAACCTCAAGGGACTTGGATTGGGTTTAGGGGAGGAACCAAGCAGTGTGGGCTTGCAAAGATTGCTGCCAGGTGGGCTACAGATGTTAAGATTCAGTCCACTTGCATGGCATTCACCTAGGGAGATGCTAATGCAATCCTATGCATGTAGAAAATTAGCATGCGTATACACATTTACCCCGCAAAGGCCTCTCTCCAGCTCTGCTTTTTAAAGCACCAAGGTTTATAGGTACAGTAAAAAGGCTTCATAGGAAGCCACAGAGCTGCTTATATCAGCCCCGAGTTTGAATTCGTTTAGTCAGCTATCTCAAAAAAACAAAAACACAGCAACCCTTACTATAGATGGAAGCTGGGTTTCACGGCACATGCAGCTGCGGTCACTGTCTTGCAGCTGTTAAATGAAGAAATACCATGTGAACCATACTTGGTCTGGTTTCAAAAGACCTAAAAACACTAGCCAAGAAAAATGGTACATCACGGTGCTGTTTGGCCACTTGCCAAGACAAAGAAACTTGTAGATTTCTAGGGACAAGAGGCCATGTGAAAGGAATTTTCCTCCTTTCAAAGGCACATCAAAATATACTGGAGGATTTATTTATTTATTTATTTTGCATGCTCTTGGCAAAGCTTTGATTGATCACTAATGCAGTATCAGCAGTGAACTCATATCACTTAAAGAACAACCAAGAAAACAAGGCAAACGGGAATATTTTAAAACTGTCGGCCCAAGGTGCAACAAAGAAGTTTAATGTAGAATTATTTTACGTAAAGAAAAACAAGTAAATGGATAAGAGTCCCCAAAAGGCAATTAAAGCTCAATGTTTATGAGGAGAAAAGGATTATTCTGTGGCAAAGGCTCAAGAAAAAAAAAAAAAAAGCTATTGGAGTAAAAGAGTGCGTTTTTTTTTTTTTGACTCAGGCTCAGACATTGGTATAAGCATGTCAGCAGGCCAAAAATGCAGAAGCTTACAAGTTGTCTCTGTAAGACCTACCTCAGCTCCCCAAGTGATATAGATGCAATGCTCTGCTAATGGCCAATATTAATTTGGATATGACAATGCTCTACACAGGGCTTACCCCACTGCCTGAGCTGATGCACATGACCCCCCATGGAGCTGCAATTGTAAACTCCTTTCACCACCTGCAAAAGAGGTACTGTTCCAGTGCATCTCATTTGCATCAGGAACAACCACATGTGTATCAGGAAACTGTCTTAGAGTCAATGGGAAATTTCACTTGAAATGCAGCACAAAAATAGCAAGCTTTCTTATTGCTTTTGTTTGGCTGTTTTTCCAAAAGGGTGGAGAGGGATGTTTAAAAAGCCAGCTGTAGGAACAGAGGACACCCAAAAAGAGATCAGGTCCTGTGGGGAGAATTATTTACTTCATTGTAAAGCATCTTCCGCAGTTAGCTGTGCAAAATGTCTGGCTTGGGCCAGCTCCTGGGCTTGTTTATGTACTGGAGACTGAATGCCAAACTCCCCTGACAGGAAATGAGTGAGACTGCAAAAAGGATAGTTCGACAATACAAGAGAAACTCATAAGTTTCAGTAACCATGTCATTTTATTGGTTTGCTTGCTTAATGTTGGTACTATATTAAAGGTCAAAGGTGCATTAGATGTTAGGGGAAATAAATATGCTGGTGAACAGATAAACACTATGGAAGCTCCAGTAATTAACAAAGTCCGTATGTATACGGACTCATAAGAGAACAAACTATTCTTCCATCTGAACAGAATTCTTTTTTTGCTAAATCTATGTGCAGGGTTTATGAGCCAAACCTTGCCGCCCTTTCTAAGGGAAACTCCCATTGAGGTCAGGGAGGAGTTTTCTCTAAATAAGACTTCAGTATTTGGCCTGTGTTTTTGGCCTTGTTTCTTTACCTTGCCCTTGAAAGGCCCCTTCAGCCTAAGTCTCTATAAAACTCAGTGCTGGAGTCATCAGATACTGAACATGCTTCTGTAAGCAGAGGACACACTCCCAGGCCCTTTGTCTGGTTCTCAGAAATAACATTTCCATTTCCATTCCATTTTCTTGCTTGCATTCCTCTGAGTGTACAAAGTTAATGGAGGAAGT